GATTGAAGATGAGATCACGAACCGTATAGCAAAAGTTCGGGGCGCTTTTGCTAACCTTCGCCACTTATGGCGGCGGCGCGACATCACTCTTGCCCTGAAGGGTAGAGTGTACAATGCAGCGGTACGTTCGACCCTACTGTACGGTTGTGAAACCTGGCCCCTTAAATCAGCGGACATAAAGAGGCTAGTTACGTTCGACCACCGGTGCCTTCGCAATTTAACACACATCTGGTGGGAACACCGCGTGAGCAACGAGCGTGTTCGAGGTCTTGTTTACGGCACAGGAAAAGAAAATGAAACGCTCAGCACCGTTATTTCACGCACCAGGCTCCGATGGGCCCGGTCAGGTGTTACGCATGCCAGCCCTCTGACTCCCGCGATGTGCGTTGTTTGGGCGCCGGGGGTGTGGATGGAAGAAGAGGAGAGGTGGCCAAGCGATGACTTGGTCGAGAGGAATGAAGGCCCTCACTTCAAAGCTGGCCTCAGTTGGAGCGTCTCATCTCCGTGGTTGGGTTCCGAAAGACGAACACATCTGGCTGGATACACTTGTTGATATGGCTAGGAGCCGACCTCAGTGGCGTTCGTGCTGTGAGTTTCTTTGTCCCACCCCATCCCTCTTAGCCTCGCCTGCAACCGTGATCTCATTATTTAGCACTTTATAATTTTGCATAGTTTTTTTCCTCTACATAGTAGCCAGCTGGTAGCTTACCGGAGCGATGCCCATCCGTTACCGGTAGCTCAGCTGGCTTGCACCTGTTGCATTTTATTCTCCTTTTTCTTTTATGTATTGTGGCATAGTAGCTGAGGTGTTTCTCACCTCTAGCTAACGTGTATAGTGTGTGTGTGTGTCCTGGATTGACACTCGTACTGGAGTACCTGCGTCGACTCTGATCATGCCTTGGTACGCTGTTGTTTCTCCATGAACTTTGCCTGGAGGCGCACCCAGCGTCTCACCCGATTGGCAACTGAGAAGTTGTTTCAGCCCTTGGTCAAACAAGCCTATCAAGACGTACTGCGTACCGAACTTTCGCTGTCTCTTCCTAATGACACTGAGCTTCAATGGATTAGGATCTCGGACGCCATCTGTTCGCCCCAATCCATGTGCTCGGGTTTGGCTCACCTTGCCTCCTTAACGACGATCGGCGCATCCGTTGTTCGTTTAGTTTTCCTTCCATCAGAATCTACCACATCTTTGGCGTCAAAAGGGAGTTTCCTTCCGCTTTAAAGGCCGTGTTTACAAGGCAACAATGGCCGTCTTATTTTGTATGAGTGATAATTCGTCCGATCTGAAGACCTGCGGCGCCTACAAGTCTTTGAACATCGTTATCTGCAAAGCACTGCTGATGTCGGATGGCACCAACGATGATGTGCGTAAGCGAGTAGTAGCCAGTGATAAACAGGCTAATTCTTTAGAACAGCAGATAGCACTGAATATGTTGCGTTAACTTGGGCACGTACTAAATATGCCTGGTCACCGCTTACCGAGGAGAGCCTTGTTTTTGCGCTGTTTTCTGCGGAGTGATGGTTGATTATGACGCGGGGCAGTGAAAGCCTCAAGGGAACTGTCTCGCCGATGCCGACTTATCTTTTAACGATAGCCAGCTGTTTGTGACAGTATGTTGTTGACAAGGTCTAAGCGCCCTGATCCTGAGTACTTGTTTAGGGCATTAAGGTTTTACCGTAGGTTCCCCTTCTTTCCCTCTTGTTATGTGCTCCGTAGTTCACTATGGTTGTACAGCAGCGAAACATCTTTTCTAGTAACTGACGTACTGCTGTTGATGATGATTGTTTATATCAGAGGTATGCGTAGGAGTTTTTTCGTTTGTGTAGATAGGGCTTGTTGGTGTACCTTTTTCACGTTATATCGGATCTCGATATACAGTGGTTATGTTACGTAATGTAGACAGGTTAGGGCAACATCAAGGTTTTTTTCGTACATACACCAGTGAAGACAGACACAACGTGATTCGGAAGGGTCTTCCAAGGCTGACTCACACGGAGAGATGTTTCGGCGTTGTTCCAACCGGCTATGTTGGCTGGCTAACTTTAACTGAAGGCTTATCAGGTTCGTCATGTTGCCGAGTTGCAGTGGGTGGCTTCAAACGTGGTTGGGATTCTACGTAAACTGGTAGGTCATTGTTAGGTCGCCACGTAGGCGCCGATACTGACCACTGTATAATTTTAGGTTTCTCAACCAGTTCATATGGAATGTGGAATAACCTTTTAACGTGCTTGGTGGACCACCGCTGGTCGATCAAACGCAGCTTCCGTCCTTGATCTGACGAGGTCACCACTCGCCTCTTTTTTCCAACCAACCAATAATGGGGTATGGCTCACAAGGCTTCTGCTCAATCACACGAGGCGAGACGCATCAGATCGAAAGGATCAAACACGTCGCAAACAGGCTCTCAAGTGCAGGAGAATTGTCGTACGAAGACCAGTGTGAGAAACTAGGACTCGACACCTCATTCTATCATCGGCTGCGTGTAGATCTCATCATAACCTACCTCATTACATCCTGGTGACTTCCATATGTTGAGGTCAATGCATTACTTGAGAACGCTATGCAGCATATGCGGACACCAGTACAAGCTTGTGGTGCCGGATATAGAACGATTACCCCATCTGTGCTTCGAACGGAGAGTGTGAAATGTTTAGAACAGTCTGCTGGAAGTCGCGTAGGCCAAACTAGTGCAGCAGTTCAAAACGTTGTTGAATTTGTATTTCATCATTCGATTCAGAGAACGACTGCACATTAGCAATGACCTCTTGCGTTTGTGAAATCAGTGGAATCGTAAGTCAGACATTTTAAAATGCTACATAACGACTTGAAGAACGCTTAGATTGTCACGGATTGCAGACACGTTTTATAACATTGTGCAGAATTAAATTTCTACTTCTCTTACATACAGTATTCAGTAATTTCGAGCGCTGCGAGATATTTGTTGTATCAGGGCTAGATTGCATATTCCACGTATGTGTTAAGCAAATATGCATGGATCAAACTGCCCGAATGCCTTCCGCAGCATACCAACATGTTGGTTTCCCGTCTTTGACGCTTTCGCAGGTTGTGCTAAGCAACCCAAATCAGCCTGAGTTAGTATTCCTAGGTTGCGAGTATCCTACTCGATAAGGTCCGTGAGCCAATATTCGCATCGATGCCTATCTACCACAAGGCCCGAGGTCTTCACATGTGATCAAGTAGTTTCTGCCGCGACGCTGGATGACACGGATTTCCGAGGGAAACTGGGCCACCACGGTGCAGCTATGGTTCTGCAAACGTTACGTCATAGCGTTACATGACACTCGAAATGCATCCTACGAACTTTCTACGAGAAATGGTGGCGCGACCAGACTTACCTCTCATGAAAAACAGACCGTTCGGGAGGAACGATCAGCGTAAAATAGAGTCCTGGCTGCAAAGAATGAACATCTCTGGCCATTTGGAGGGATACACGTAACAAACATAAAGCCGCCTACAATTGGCTGGCGACACTGAAATTCCCAGACCTCACGGTATTCTGCGATGAATGAATATTGCTGCCACACAACTAGATGTGACGAATTCCTACCTATACCATTCAACTCCCCCTACTACTCTTCTGTAACTATGGATTCAGTGGGACGAATTTACTAATAAGAAGAATGGCTGCATGAGACCAATGTGGGATCTAGTGTCATAAGCGGACACTCATAAGCAAAGCGCGCAAAACGTAATAATATCATGTGGTAACTAACAGCTGACAACCATGCAAATTTAGGAAAGCATCGCGGGGCAACTTCCTGGTAGCCTTCAACGTCCAGCTTTTGAATCAACCTTACTAGCCGACGGCTCAGTGTCAGACACACTTCAAACACGCAGTCTTTCAAGAAGATGATGCTCCCTCAAGGTGTCTGCGATGAAAGTGGATAGAAATTAGGGAGTGGGACAACCGCAGTGAACAACCCTTTGGTGTCGAAAGGACGTCAAACTACCCGCCGCATATGCGAAAGAGACTTAGTAAAGTGCAGGTTACGTGTTCACATATTTCAGTGAAGCACCTTCCCTGGGATGTATACATCACAAGTGGCACGAAGCGATCGACTGCATCAGACCCGACCATGCAATCAATGAAAACAGTCGTCCTTGGCCTACGATAAGTGTGATGCTGCTGTTGTGTGGATTGCACAGTGAAAATGCGATCTGTAGACTTTTGTCAAAGCAGAAAATCTGTCTGTAGTGCAACCATTCTGGACTAGGATTTTAGATTAAGGCGGTGAACTAGGATAGAGGCCCGCAACTTCGCTAGGATACGGTGTATTAAATATCACCAATATGGTTTACTGGACTCAGATGCTCATGACAGCCTTCTGCATCCATAAACGTTCGAACAGACGGGTCTGCCCTTCGCAGATGACCTTATCAACTTTGTCAAACAATGTGGAATCAAACGAATTTAAACTAATATGAAAGCGATTTTAAAGTTAGTATCTTCCGCTTTCTATTCGATCCCAGTGGAAAGCGAACTTCCAACCTCAGGCATCAACGGTCTCTCTGAAAACTACCATTTAGAACCGATTCAGTCAATGCGGGCTTAGGTGCTTGCGCCATGTGACTGTATTTAACTTTCTGGTATCAACGAAATGTTTCCCCAGAACACCATTGGTCCAAAATGGTAGGTTCTCCGGGGAGATTTCACTTTTCCCCAAACGAAGCTTATGGGTCAACTGGCCATAGTTCAACCTGCGCCACTGCAAGGTGAGACGATTAGGAGGCGTAGACAATTAGCTGAAACGTGACGTAAAATACTCCACATACGCATACAACTATTGACAACCCATTATACATTGGGTTAACTCTGAATCAGGTACTCCAGCAGACAGTAGCCATCATGAGGACTGCTTAATGCTCTGTGAGGGGCGGCGAGCAGGGAAAGTTTGAGCAGCGCAGACGCCCCTACCTTGGTGCATCTAGTCTCAACTCTCTGTTCATTTATCACACCTGCGAAAAACATAGATGTATAAAGCAGAACACTTGGCGGTCGGCGAGATCATTCATGGCTAGTGGAACAGTTATACGTAAAAACGGGATCACATTAAAATGCACAGGACAAGTTTGGAAGTGCATGGGTTACTAAAGGAAATTAAAAACAAAAAAATACATTAGCAACGGGAGTCATACTGAGAATGATAGTGAAGTGAGCGGCGCAGACTTTCAAAAGGATAACGTAGCATGACAATGGGCACAATATTGCTATACTGAGTAATGTGGACCACAATGTCACCATTTCAAATTTGGCTTGAGCTAAGTCCAGACTGCACCAATTCGGGATCGTCGGAACATTGTAGTGCAATCTCCGTGGCCTCATTCGATAAGTGGACACTCTGGCAAATGAACTGTTCCGAACAAATTGAGCTCGTAACAGCTGCAGAATACGAGCACGATTATGTATCCCATCAGCAGAGTTATTCCGTATGGTTTTGTCAAGCGCCAGCGATTCAAGTGAGTGACAACCAGCAGGAAGAGGACCGTGCTGAACAGCGTCAAAACAGCATAAAGCAGACCTGTCACGAAGATATAGGCGCATGTTAGATGACATGCAGGGAGCACTTCAAATTCACTTCAATGTGTTTAAACGTACAGCATGGGTAGGTACTGGGAAAACTTGTTCATTATGATAACTATACTGGAAGAATGCCGACCTATAAATCAAGCCTGACCTCATGGTAACCCATGTGGAGTGGTGTTGCGTAAAAGATATATGATGCATCAAAATGATCCAGGCGGACCAATTGCTTATCACACACCGAAGGCTGCGCTGAAAAGCGCTTAAAGAAGGGTTAAAAAAGCGATAGATCCAAACTACATTACTTCCGTATCAAATGCCATAGGCAAAGCTCTCAACTGGATCACCATTATCGGTTAAGCAAAGCTGAACGGATTACTTTGCAACCTGGCACAGTGAAAAAGCACCTAATGTGTAACGCTCTCATGTGTATCTCAAAGTTTATTGTAGTAAAGTCAAATCACTGGATGAATGATTGATCGAAGTAAGTCATTTCATTTGGTCTCATACTGTAGCTCGTAAACAACCTGGCTTGTCCGGTAGAAACAAAACCGTCAGCCTTTGGATAAAATGCGAAGTAGTCTGTATAACGTATTTCAGTTGCACCACATATCACGAGAAATATCGTAGTGACCTTGTGCAGTTGGGCATTCAAAGCAAAGTGACGAAACAAAGAACATTTTGATTGGTGAATATTCATCACAGTCAAAGTCAGACAGACAGCATCCAGGAAAGCGCTAGACGGCCGTTTCGTCTTATCGGGACTCGTCAGTAGCGCGCACCCGCCGAATCCTGCCGGATTCGAATACACGGCTTTACTCTTACGAACCAGAGACATGCCACTGAGCCATGTGTGACGGCAGCGGATCGCCGTGACTGATATCCCATTGAGATATAGCGCGGCTCATCCTGTACTACGATGCATGTTATGAACGTGCAGAGGACATGGACGGCTGTAGAAAAGTGAGCTAAAAAGCACCGCATAAAGTGATGATGTCTAGATGTCGACCAAGAAAATCACGAAGTATTCCAGCGAGACCTAGACGGTGCACAGGAATGCACATAAATTTGTTAGTTAGACTAACCGTTCACCGAGATTGGTAATTTTGTTGCAAACGTTTCGTCACCATTCGACGTGGTGTTATTAGTGCGCTAGTGTGTAGCGGAGCGATGATTTTATACGTCATCGTCATTGGCCGTTTGGGCAGGTCAAAGAGGCTTTCGACCCATGCCTCGAGACCATGGTCTGTTTGCCTCCGCCGCTGAAAATGTTGGCTGGGCTGCTTGGATGGTATTCTTTCCCACATTAGGTGTATTCGAATGGAGTGGTGATGCTTTGCTCGTGAATTTGCGGATAGCTTCTAAGTTGAGTTTACTGATCGTGTTGTTCGCGGAATGCTGTGTTTAAAAATTCTCTTGTCAGCTTCGTGTTTCTACATTATGACCTGCTTCATCCTCGTGTAGTATAGAAACCAATGAATGTAGATCACGCCTCATAATCTGTGGGAAGCTTTCTTCCCGTTTGTCTGATGTACCGCATATCATATTCACTGCAGTTTATCTTTTAAATCACATGAATGTTTTGTTTGATTTCGTCTTAAAAACAATCCTCCCAAATTAGCGTTTGGTTAGTGTGCTACCGTGATTCTGTGTAGCTGTAGTAATTGTGCTGCTAGTTCGAAAGTTCTTGATGCCTGGGCGTTTGTGAGGCAGTATGGGAAGCGTATTATCAAATTAGTGATGATAGATGCCTATAGTCACTTTCGCGAGTATGAGAGAACCATAAACGACTGTCTCGTTGCCATGGATCCAAAAAATACGCAGAGCTTGAATCCACAATAAAGCGTTGAGTGAGCCACGCGAGAAATCAACGTAAATCAGCACAAAGCGTCAAGCAAGCTCCCCAAGTAAGTCGACCACATCATCAGTGAAGGATGGACCAGAAACTTACCGCATTGCCTACTCAGCGCAGTTAAAAGGGACTTATTAACAAAGGGTTCAATTTCAACATCAGGGATGCTTCCTACATGAGTTACTTGACTAGGCTAGAACATGCTTTGAAGAGAAACGGACTGTCAGAAGCTAGGCAACAAATTCGCCAAACTGCAGCGAATATGATATGCGCTACATCGGACAAACAGGAAGAAAGCTTCCCACTGATCAGGGAGTATGAGAAGGCGTGATCTACATCCATAGGTTTCTATATTACACGAAGATGGAGCAGGTCACTATGTAGAAATACGAAGCAGACAAGAGAATTAGTAGAAATAACGCGGTTAATAAACTTGAATCAGACGTTATCTGCGCAAATTCACGAGCAAAGAGCCACTGCCGCGGTCGAGTGACTTTAATGGAACAGCTTGGGCAGCATCATCAGCTACGCAGACATAAGGGTCATAGTCTCGAGGCCTGGGTCAAAAAGGCCATTTTCCAAGGTCACATGCCCAAACGGCCAATGACAATGACCTATAAAAGCACACATGCGTGACCGCCCGGTTCACATCTGCTTAAGCATCGATCTGCTCTGCTACACACTAGCGCACTATGTTACCTAGAATGATGACGAAACGTTTGCAGCGGAATTGCCAACCCCAGTGAACAGTTAGTATAATAAATGAACAACTTGAGATACCTACATTTACTTGTATAATCCCATTCAATGCGTCCAAACGTAAAATGGTTCACATTCGTCATTAGCCGAATAGCACGTATATGCTTGGAGGCCATAGCTTGTACGCCATCTCCTCGAAGGAATATGGGAGTGATAGAGCGAAACTATCCAGCATGCTCAAAGCCAACGCGTTTGTATCTTGCTGAGGGCATTCGGCCGGTTGGGTCCATTTGTCTGTCATCAGATGCTTAACACCCGCCTGTGGCCTCATGTGAAATACGCTGTCCGAGCCTGGTACAAGCAACCACAGCTCTAAACTCTACGGCGAAGAGCCATCAAGCATGTTAAAGGATTGTTCCACCTCCAATGTCAACTCCAGTTGAGGGCCTTAAGATCGTACAGCGATCAGTATCGGCGCCTACGTGATGACGTAATAATGACCTACCAGGCTGAAAAACCCCAACCGCGTTTGTCGCCAAATGCTGCAACAGCCGTAATATGAACATGAGAGACCACCAGCTCAAGTTAGCCCCGAAGTAAAGGCGGCCAAAATGTCGCCGGAACTTCGTGAGCGTCAGCGAAGGAACGCCTTTTTTACTTGTCTAGTTTCCGCCTCACATTATATGTTAAAAAAACGCCATAGCGTGGCGCTATCCCGCCACACACATGCACATAGAGAGACGAAATAACGCGACAAACGGTTCTCCCACTAGTTTTCCCATAAACAGTGAGGGTAAACCCATTCATTTATGCACGCCTTCGCATAGTGAGTCCACCGTAAAGCTTTACCCCCGTTACCGTGCTTCCTTCTTCAGTTTGTGGTTCACATCCTCGCGATCCGACAAGACTTGTTACACACTGCTTTTAGATCCGTAATTCACCATAGTTCCACTGATTCGGATGGGATGCTTGCTACTTAGTGTCACCTACCAGGGCCAGTGCAGCGTAGGAACATCATATTCGTGTCAGTTGTAGCAGTTCGGGATCCCCCAACTATAGCCCGGTTATTCTCATCCCGGAGCTCTTAAAGGTGAAGAATTCGATCAATGCTGAGGCACCAATGGGGTGGTTAGCAAGACCCAGATCAATAGGGTCATGTACTAATGATTGCACATCACAGCTGGACCGAAACAGCAGAAAGTGGGACTAGAACGAAGGTCAATCATCTGGGACTTTCTTAAGTCTTCGACCACTTAGATCACTGTATCCTCCTCCATAAGCTGAAAACCTACGAAAGTAGGAACACTATCTTAGGTTCATCGTAGAATCCCTTCTTCAGCTGCGGTCGCGACTGCAGGTGCGAGTTCGTGGCTCATTGTTCGATCCTAATGTAGTGGGATGCGGTGTTCCACAAGGATCAGTGTTGGGGCCACGCTTATTCCTAGTTTTCACTAACGACCTCGCGTGTATCTAGCCGAATGCCTTGCTTTTTGCAGATGAAATCACACACAACACATATAGGCTAGGAGATCGCATCCTGAAGACCAACTCACACGAGTGTGGCCTTAAGGTGGCGATGCAAGGCCGTCTCAGGTTTTCGGAGTAATCATTAATGTTGTACAAAACATGTTGGTCTCTTACGGATGGCGTTCGACCCCTCCATCGCTCCACAAATGCTCCCAGGGTGAGTTCCCAAGTGGTGTACGCGATTCAAGCATAGTAACCCTAGCTAAAACGTGATCTGGCCGCACTGGTAATTCCACAGGGAAGAATAACCAAAAAACGTCAAGGGCTTGTTTCATCTGTCATGCCAAATACGAGTGATAGCCTTAGGAAGGCACCGCGGAAGTCTTCGCCGTCAATCTGATAATCTCATTCTGACGTATCAGTTACAGAAGAGCCCTAGTCACACCTGCCGCTCTTTCCCGAAACTTAGCCGCGATGTAATGCTGAGGGGCCACCAGCTGAAATTGTCTACTCAACCGGCTGGAATGTCACCGGAATTTCTTTTTTTCACAAAATTTGTCGGCTGTTGAACACTCTCCCGAGTCACAACATTTCTGCGTCTGCTTTAACCATGAAAAATATCGACTCAACGATGCATTAGACCAACTGCATTACTTTATCGAAATTATGTTCGTCGAATGACAGAGAGACGCAGATAAATATTGTATTCTTAGAAGCTCAGTAAGAAGATGCAGATTGGAGAATGCACACAGTTCGTATTGTCTCCTCAATGCCTTTAACCAGCAATCGTATTTATTCTGGACAGGGCGCAACCAAAACCAACAAACGATAAGCGAGACAGGGTTATTACCCCGATCTCGAGGGCAGTCTAAGGCTGACTCATAACACTGTGCAACATCATTTTTACAGCAATGATATAGGATGTTCCTAGTAGTACCAAGTGAGCTGATTACGAATATGTAAAGCAGATGTTTCTAACACGTCGGGTTTTTTAATTTTCATTTCAGCTAAGCAGTGTGTTCTTTGCATCCAATGCTCGCCTGTGATCGGTCCATTGTCTCCCTGTAATCGTAGAAAAAAGTCCTCGTGGCCATGGTATCCGCCTGAGAATGAAAGTCGGTTGAGTGCTGTGTCTCCTTAATTGATATCTTGATCATGGCTGAAAGACGTTGCTGTGTCAATGTCAAACATCATTTTTGTTACGTCTGTGGACAGTTTACTACAAAGTCGCAGTGCAGACGCATTTCTTCACTACTGTAGTCTGCCTTGCACGCATATCTCGGGATGGAACTGTGGAGATCAGGATAAGAAGTGGGCGTCGCATATTGTTTTGTGTTGTGCAATATTCACCTGACTCAGTGCCTCAAGCGCAAAGGCAAGATGCCCTTTGCAATCCTCGCGGTGTGGAGGGAGCCGAAGGATCACACGACGGACTGCTGCCTCGGCCTAACCAGTGTCATTGTAATCTCTAACCGAAACAAGGACAAAATTCATTACCACAATCTTCCATCAGCTGTTCAACCTGTTCCTAATGATTGCACCTCCAGTAAGTATGTCACTGAAGATGAGTAGTGATCCCGCATCGTCAACTTCCCCTGATTCTGACATCTGCAAAAACTTTGAAGCTGATGTTATCAACCCACATCTTATTGAACAATCAGAGCTGAATGACTTGGTACGTGACCTGGGATTGCTTAAAGACAAGGCTAAGTCGTTGGCATCTCGGCTGCAGCAGTGGCGCTTACTTGCTGTAAACACTATGTATACAGAAGGGGAAGTGTTACATTGTTGGGTTTCTATGACACGTGGAAGGACTGATGAAGGAGCTTGACATGAGGCATATCTGTGGCGAATGGCGCTTGTTCATTGACTCGTCATAGAGTAGTCTTAAGGCCATACTGCTCCACAATGGAAACGTGTACCCAACTGTGCCTCTGTTGCATGCCACTAATATGAAGGAGACTTACGAAAGTATGCAGCGGATACTCGCCGCACTGAACTACGATAAGTACCGTTGTAACATCTATGCTGACTTCAAGGTCATTGGATATGCCAGGACGCTTCACAAAGTATTGCTGTTTCTCGTGCTTATACGACAGTAGAGCAACTCAACAGCACTACACAACCGAAAAGTGGCCAGAGGGGACGGAGTACGTTGCAGGGAAAATGAGTGTAAAGCATACACCTCTTGTGTAATCTGGTCACATCTATCTACCAGCCCTGCACATCAAACTTGGTTTGATTAAAAACTTCGTCAAAACCCTCAAGCGGATTTGTTTGGTGCTCCAGTACCTGAAGCAAGTGTTTCTGATCAATGATGCGAAGCTCAAAGAAGCGATGCTTATTGGGCCTGATATTCGCCGGATACTGGCAGACAGTGCTTTCGAATGCCAGTTGATTTCATTTGAGTTAGAAGCGTGGCGATCATTCAGGACAGGGTGCACAGGATTTCTGGGCAGAACAAAGGCAGAAAAGTACATTGCAAGAAAGTTCATTGCGGACTGCCAGGGATTTGGTGCTCGAATATTGCTCAAGATGCACCTTTTGCATAGTCACCTTTACTTTTTCCATGAGAACTTGGAATCTGATAGCGATGATCATGGTGAGCACTTTCACCAAGGCATTTCAGTCATGAAGCAGCGCTACAATGGCACGTACACGCCTTATATGATTGGTAACTTTTGCCAGTATCTGAGTCGTGAGGGCGCTGTATCATACAAGCGATCAGTTTGACGAAGTCATCATTTCCCAGTGGCAAGCGGCGGTCAGTAGTTAGCGGCGTGTTGCAGTGATATTTTAAACGTATTTGCCACATACATGCATTCTGTATATATTGTGTTTCAGCACAAGTGCATATAACTCGTACGACGTTGCCTAAACATTACTAAAAATAATCATTGCTTATAACAATGTAACCTGACGTGCTAGGTAACATCGGAATACATTTCTACGATCACTGGAGTGTATCCTATAAGGTAAAGACATTGATATTTCAGTCATAGAAAATAAATTTTTGTTGTTTCTGTACACAAACCATCAGCTTAATCTGGCTAATTGCAACCGTCATTGTGAAACGGAGGCGCCGAGAACTGGTGTAATGTAATAGTGATCTCTACTCGGTGACCTTGTAGTCAATAAGTGTTTGTGGGTCGAAGAGACCGGTGGCCTAGCTGACAAGCAGCTTGCGGTTGACCAGTTTCTTGTGCTGTCGAACACTGAACCCGCTTAGGCACATGGTCCTTCATTCAGGAAAATGCCCTATAGGTTCTACTTATGTAAGTGGCTCCGCAATCATATAAGAATTGGTGTATGCAATGCGGTTTGCCCCCGATCGGCTGGGCATCCTTTACAGAAAGATGTAGCAGTATTTTTATTCTGTTAGTGGGTTCCGCCTTGACGGCGTAGTAAGTGCTCTACATAGCGCTGATCAGACGCCTTGTGGTCCTCAGCGTAAAAATGTCACCTTTGAATAGCATTTCAATGATTACAAGCTTTTTGGTTACCATGTGCACTACGTTACTTGGCCGCATTTGACTATGCTTCTCAATAAACCTTCGGGGGTAGCCGTTTTCGATAAGTGTATTCATACTCAACTGCCGTTCGTCAACCAGATTCGTCTGGCACAATTAATCAGGGCACTCACGAGCGTCTGCTTGTATCGCATTGGTGTGAATGTGGTGAAATCCAGATACTGGCCGGACTGTGTTGCTTTCCTGTAGATAGACCTCTTAATCTACCCGTTTTCTCTGCGGCCGATGAGGATATCTAAGCATGGGAGGCAATTCTGCTGCTCCACCTTAAAAGAAAAGCATTTAGTTGTGTAACAACTGCTCCATCTGATGCTCCTATGAAAAAGTCAAAATCCCGTCCACGTAGCGTTTGTAATATGGCAGCTGAAATATTTCTCTAGACAAATCCCGTTCTACCATTCACATGAAGAAATCGGCAAGTACCGGGCGCAATGGGCTTCCCATCGCTACTCCATACATTGAACAGTACGGCGTGTTCCTGAATTGAAAGTTGACATTCTCCTAATAGACTAACTGGTATCGGTAGAGGACACCGAAAACTATTTGCAAGTTCACAAATGTCCTCAACAGCTTGGTGCAGTGGTAAACAGCGACTCCACATTGAACGAGCACATTGATGTTGTCGGAAACTTTAGGTTATGTCGAGGTCATCGATAAGTTCGAGGAAATCTTTGAAGTCACTCGCTCAGCGAGGAGGGTATTTTCACCAGCCAGCGGGCCAGTTTATATGGGGACGCGTTTCCCATTGACAAAATCGGTATGGGTGGCACCCAACTCTTACGTACCTTCGGCATCCCGTATAGCTGAGGAGCTATGGAGCAAGTCAGGCTTCAACGTGTCACAATTATCACTGTCAGTCACACGATGCAGACGGCACACTTCCAAATGGCGAGTCATGCGTGACTCTACCACAGTCACCAGCGCACACGAAATCGGGGTAGACGGATATACGTGTGTGTTCACATGGATATTATGGTGAGCCGACGGATGGGGATTTCACTCCACCGTCACATTGTTTGAATTTATGTATTTGACACTGTCCCACGAGATTTGTCAAATGCTAGCTAGTTTTACCCGTATTATACCGTTGCAACTGGAACAATAAACGCCAAAATATGGTCTCGACTATCTCTGGCAGTGTAGTTGAGATTTAGCAATACAGCAATATTCAAATATGGAGATGTGTTGATCGCACCTTTGGAGTATATCACCACGGGGGCCCCGGAAATGACACATTTCAAGAACCAAGGTAGACCCATGCAGATAAGGATGTCGAAGACATTGCTGCCCACGGCGTTGGAGACGGCCATGTCGCCTTCACCTGCGTCGGGGTAGTGATAAAACATTCAAATGAAACAAGCTCAGAGCCATACAAAGCGAGAGAGGCAAGAATGACAAAACAGCTGGATACAAAACGATGGTACAATATCTCTCCATATGTCTTTTATTTTGGCTAACTTTCTGAGACTTTAGCAGTTAATGAATTAGTTGCGCGGATCGGAATAAATGTGCGCACACCTCTCAACGGAATCTGGGATCACGTTGTGTTTTCGAACGTTTAGAGCGGCCGACACCGATCATCATCGAGTTCGCAAGAACAAGTGCATACGACCCAGCAGTAGCCAGATGAAAGCTAAGAAGTCTTACCTTTAGCTACCGAATAGTAGTAGTAGTAGTAGTGTGATTATAGTGAGATCTCATCCGGTGCATCGCTGCGTTGGCAAACAAAGTGCAGAGTGGTAAGCGACCTCATAATATGCGTGGGAGGTGAACTTACCGAAAGGCAAACTCGCGTTCTAAAAGACACAAGTTCGGTTTAGTCTTGGCAAACAGTGTGCATTCATACAGAAGGACCCCTGCAATCCACATTTTTCAGCGGTCAATGGATATCACTTAAGAAAACCGTTTATGGTTCACATCTATACAACGCTGCACGAACAATCGGGTTACAAACTCTACACTTTGACCAGAAATACACACCAGTGACACTACCACTTGATAACATATACCCAAATGAGGACAACATGGTGGTAGCTTGCTTTCGTGAAACAGGTCATAATGACAGACACAGTATACGATATCATCCGCAAATTTCTACTATATCTTCCACTTGGGCGAATAAGGCTAGAAGGAAAGCGCCAAATCGATTAGCTTCATGAAGAATAGCATTTTAGTCCAGGGTCTATTTTGTGCAAATCCTCTCGACATTCCATGCCTCAAATTAGTGTTTAATAAGTTAACTCCTATTGTTGATTAGTAAAGCAGATACACCTCTTCGAGTTGTAGGCCGTGAGGCTCCCGTCGGAAGCAGATAGATCATGCGGCGTTAACCCTACCAGACCTGAGCATTAAAGAGAAAAAAAACCAACATGATGTGGAAAAATTTAGGTTACATGCAAGCAAGTGGTTAGAATAAGATGGAAATTGATGACAGCCGAAAATAGGTCTGGGCAAATTACCGAAAATTAGATATAGCGGTCTGATAGCGTTAAGAGGTGCGTCTTATCACCGCTCTTTAGTCACAGTCGATGTGTATTTTAATCGATAAACTGGTGTTAGCGACAAGGCATTGCTCTGAGTGGGGCACAGGATATGCAGTTGTCAAGGCTAAGCATACAAATAGCTGAGAAGATGAAGAATGCTACTAACTGACCTTCACGCACCACCAGAATTGATGCGATTGCGTCGGGAACGCTGGAACCGGCGGCGATGAAAGTCAAACCCATGATCGTGTCGGGGATGTGGAACGTCACACCTGGTTGCGGTAAGATGTAATTTGTTAGAGAAGAAGAGTTAGTCCTGCCGATTTTTAAACGATGGAACCACAAAAAACGCGAAAAATGTAAGCAGAAATGCGTGGTGCAACACATCATTAGAGGGTTAACAATCTGAGGTGACACAACTTGAAAACAAAGCGCTAATATACCAGGGGCAGGCCTTCGGACATACACATGATGAACAAACCAGAAGACAAACGATGTTATTGCATCCAGCTGTTTATGTGTCAATGAATACTGAACACCACATTGTAGGAGCAAGTAAAAATTTGTATCTATACAGCTGTGAGTGTTTGAACTTAGGTATTCAATCGCGAACCCAGCTGCCTTACTGAAAGTAAATGTGATACGACGAGTTGCGTGTCCCCATGACCAATTGCCCTGCCGCAGATGGCACTTTCCAGTTAGAGACCAATCATTATCATCATTATCAACAGCAGCACATCAGCCATTTGAGCGGATGCTTGGCTGCCGTACAAAAATGACGACAAACGGAAGGAAGAAAAATAAGGGGGAGAGAATAGGAACTTACCGGGAAAACGTAATACTTAAGAGTCAAGGCACCCATACTTTACTTTACTGCGGCTACCTCCTGCGACAGGATGAGCCAGCTTCATGAATGTCGCGGATTGCAGCTGCTCAAACGCGGTGGTCAGCGGCAAGCTCCACACAGATACTGATTCAATGTTTTCTTCATGCACAACCTGGAGTTCCAGAAGATCGACATCCGATTTAACTGCAGCGAGCTACGTTTTCAGTTGTCCACCACGGCGACGACACCAACCCTGGCAAGGCGAGGGCAAAACCACGGCCCTAGTGAAGTCAGTGTCTGGTCTGCGGAGGACGTGACCGAACCGCTGAAGTCTGCGGCGTTGGATGAGCGTTGTAAGCTTCGGAAGACTGTAACAGCACTTACGAACTTCATCATTAGTGGTACGCTCACGCCACTGCGTTTTCAAGATAAGCCTTAGAAACAATGATCCAAGACTTCCAGCTTCCGGGTATCTACGGAAAGTAGCGACCATGTTTCGCAACCATAGAGTAAAATGGATCGAATGGTTGCCGAGAATACACGGAATTCATTCGCAGACTAATCCCTCTCCTTCGCCACAATGTGTTTCTCAATTGTAAGAAGGCTGTTCTGGCGCTGTCCATATAATTTCAGATGTAGGCTGACCATTGGGGAGAAGAGTGCACCTAAGGTACTTGAATTCAGAGACAGATTCCATCTAAGGAGAGAGACGGGGCGAGGTGGGTGGCTGACGATGAGAAGTACTTTGTCTTGCTATGTTGATTTCGAAGCCGATCATAGGGACTGCTTGATCGACCAAAATTAGCAGTGATTGTAGTGACATAGGATCTTCTTAAAGGATAGCGATATCATCTACAAACTCCAAAAGTTAGGGCTAACTTGAAAACCACGATAGCCGTCAAGAGCATTATGCATAACTCAGAGGACCAGGAAGTTGAACAACACTGGGTAATCCTGTCCGACTCTAGTATTGATGTCGAGTTCCTTTGTTTCTTCTCCATAGACCCGAATCCGGGCCTTCGTGCAACCTTGACAACAACACAGTCACAAAGAGCTGGCTATCACGCAAACATAAAGCGGCATCGGTGAGACAGCTTCCTTACGGCTTTCACTGCCCCGCGTCACAATCAGCCTGTACCTCGCAGATAACTCAGCACCAAACACACTTTAAACAGACGGTCCGACAACGAGACGACAGCAGACCCGCCACTTGTTGACTGCGAGCCATGTCTTGTAAAGTCTCGAGCCAAGCACATGGCGGGTCACGTGGACTACAGCCTGGCAGGCGAGACGAACCGACGACATCGAGTTTGGTCGTCAGTGACTTCATTTCCCGCCGTCCAGTCAACATTTGCCCACCTCGGGCCTTGCGCTACCCTACATCTGGCAAACTAGACAGCGCCCTTCTCGGTAAACGGTGACCAGGCATTCGTAGTACGTGTCTAAGCCAACGCAACTTATTCAGTGCTATCTGCTGTTCTAAGGAACTACCCTGGTTATCACTGTCCGGTACTGGATTACGCACATAATCGTTGCGGACACGCTGATGAAACATGACACAGGCAATGCTCCGCAGACAGCGATGATCAAAAAGTTGAAGACGTCGGAGTTCCTCAGATCGGAGGAGTGAAGTCACGCTTCCATAGAGTAGAACGGCCCTCATCTTTGTCTTGTAAACACGGCCTTTTAAGACGGATGGAAACCCCTTTCTGACGTCACAGATACCATATATTCAAAAGACAGCTCTAGCTTTTGCAATGCGTGCACTGACTTCAGTTGCTGCACCCCATCGTTGCTGATACAGCTGCCAAGGTAAGCGAATCGATAAACTACCTCGAGTACCCTGCCATTAAGGATCAAGGGGCATTAAGTGACTGGTGGTCCTGTAACAGTGCTTTGCATTTCGAAGGTGCGAAGCGCATGCCAAATGATGAGACCACTCAAGAGAGGTCATTCAGCGTTTATTGCGCCGCCCCAATAACGTTAGAAAGCAGGACAATATTGCCCACATAATCAAGATCACCAGGCAGCACTTCGACTCCTGCACTGTGAGACTCCGCAAAGGAACATCTCATGACGCAGTCAACGACGAAGTTGAATAAAATGGACGAACCCCACTTGTTATCGCAAAGGTATCTGACAAATCACCGTAGACCCTGATGCGGCCTGTAGTGTTCGAGTACAGGGCACGTGAAATGTTCCTATGTTTCATGGGAACACCTTTTCGCGTAAGTATTTCTAACAGAATGCATCGGTCAACTGAGTAGAGCGCAGTCAGCCAAGACATGCGGACCTGTCGTCTTCAGACAGAGTGCGGATTCCTTAATCCAGCCTCCAGCTGAGTTGTACACAATGTTACTAAAGAAAGGAAAAAATCGCCGATAGTTGGAGAATTGCTAGCATAAGACTAGTACTAAAGAGAGGGAAGGACACATAGGTCTAGTGCACGCACCACGGTGGCCTTGGAGGATTTTTAAAGATAATATTCTTGTGGAAATGCCATCTTATTCCCATTTGGATGATCCACGCATTATATCAACCCACTTAACCACTCCAGTGACTTCCCGTTTTGCTCCTTTTTGTTGTTGTTGCTCATGTGTTGTGATAGTGACAATTATTTGTTGGTCATGTGTTGAATAAATAAATAATTCGTCATATAAATTCAAGGTCAACACAAGACGCAATAGCTTGCCTACTGCATTCAGTATTGTCGTTGCTAGACAGTAGGAACAAATCCACGAATGGCTATTCCCTTGATTACATCAATTCTTTCAGCTGTGTTAACAGTTATTACTGTTGCAAGATCTACATACTTCTGCTATTCAACCTCCATCGTAATGAGGCTGGACCTTACCGTGGTGCGATGGTTTGTGTGCCGCAGCGATCCATTGAGCTATATTGGGTTGTGCTTTTGCACCTTCAGAGTCACTCATACCAGATTGGTCAATGGTTAGAGACCAGACAAACTCAGCCTCCTGGTCCTCCAGGTTGGGGGTTGGAATGAGGTGGCACCTTATCCCTTAAAACGAGCTCCTTGTTGCCCAACGCCAAACCCGCTGCTTTGCGGTAAGGTTTTTGAGCCAAAGCCTTTGGTTGAGAACCCTAATCGTTCTCCTGTCTAGGCCTGGGCAACCTGACAGTATCGCGTCCACGCAATACAATGAATTTCTCTTCAAACAGTTTCCTGATGCTCTGGCCACCGCAGAGGATAATCAGCGGTGCCCTATATGCTGCATCGAACAGGGTGGATAGGGGTTTGGATGCTATTGCCCAAGCCTTCCCGTTTTCTTATTCCCCCTCTTACGTTTTTTCTCTTTTACCGTCCCGTTCCAACTTCACTTATATCCCCCCTGTTTTCAACCTCCCAATTCTTGGCCCTCCCCCAACATGCTTTGCTAGGCATTTATCTTCTAATTTCAACTCACATGCCAACTCGCAGCGTCACTCCTCTCCTGTCGACAATCCCATGTCCAACCAAACGGTCAAGCCCAGTTCATCGGCTTCCATTTGGAGCCCACGATCCTCCTTCAGATTGGCATGCCTCAATGTACGCACATTGCTACAAATCGGTCAACAGGCAGCACTTGTCCGAACATTGGAGACCCTCTCGATCGATATCTGCTGCTTATCGGAGACCCGCCTGCAAGACTCGAGCTCTGTGCTCACTCTGCGATCCCCTTCAGGTGACACTAGCAGTATTTTCTCATTGCGCCTATCCGGTGACGATGCAGCTTCGAGCACCGGCCAAGCTGGTGTTGGCATTGCCCTGAGTCCCCGGGCTGAAACTGCTCTAGTTGATTGGATTCCAATCAGTAGCCGGATGTGTGCGGTCCGATTGGCTGGCTCGTTCAAAGCTTCGAAGTCGCGTGGAACCAACAGGTGTCTATTCATCATCGCTGCCTATGCACCCACAAACTGTAGCGATGATTCGGTAAAGAACGACTTCTACCGCCAACTGACCCAGCTCCTTCGCCACAGAAGAAGCACGGACACTGTTGTGCTGGCGGGAGATACGAACGCACAAGTTCGGAAATTGTCCACTGATGAAATGCATCTGGGCGGTCAGCACGGTGTAGGCTCCCGTAATGATAACGGTGAGCAGTTACTTCATTTGTGTAAGAATGCTCGCTTACTTTTGCGAGCACTAACTTCCGACACAGCACCTGCCGGAGGGTGACTTGGCGTCCACCAGCCTTGGACGCAGATCGATCACCTTGCGATAAGTCCCCGCTGGAGAGGCTGCATCCAGAACTGTCGCTCGATTTGGAGCACATGTGTGGACACCGATCATGCACTTGTATGTGCTGACATGCGGATGCGTTTTGGCGGACGCCCACGACGACGCTGTGAGCGCATTGACACCAGCCAACTGACAAAGCCAGCTGTCCTGAATGCGTATCGAAGTACGCTGGCATGCCAGTTGTGTAAACGCTCAGTGGAGACAATTAAAGGTCAGTGGTCGCATGTTCGCCAGACCTTACTAGCAACAGCCAAATCCTCATGTGGTATGTCTAATAGCCAACATGGACATTGGGTCTGTTCGCAGTTTCTGGAACTTATCGACGCTCGCCGGCATATTCCGCCTAGAAGCGACCACAATGAAACTCGAAAGAGCTCCGGGCAAAACTCCGTGCTAGCCTGAAGAGAGACAGCGAATCTTGGTGCTCTCATTGTGCGTTAGAGATAGAAATGGCCGCTGCCCTCGGGAACCATCGTAAGTTATTCCGTTTGATAGGGGAAACGGGAAGCAGGAGACCTGGTGTTAGTAAAAATATACGTGACGAGAATAGACAGCCTATCCACAATTTGTCAAAACGTTTGAAGCGTTGGGCTGAGTATTTTATAAAGTAATTTAATCGGCTAGATTTGTTCGATTCTTCGCTGTCAGTGATCGCCCTGCTCCGTGGGCTGTCCCTGTGGATTCACTCTCTCGCTCATAAGTCGAATGTGAGATCGGACTGTTGAAGTTAAATAAAGCCACTGGACCAGATGATCTTCCTCCAGACCTCTTCGAATTCGCAGGCTCTACTCTTGTTAATGCTGTTCATGAATTACTAGTGAAGCTGTGGGAGCAGGAGACTGTTCCAACCGACTGGAGCCGCTACGTTATTGTTCCCATCTTCAAAGGAGGCTCGCGTTCGGAATGCGGCAACCATAGAGGAATCAGTCTGATCTCCATCGCCTCCAAATTACTCGCCTCTATAATCCTTCACAGACTGACTGGCGCTCGTGAAAGCCAGATTCGTGAGGAGCAAGCCGGGTTTCGTCGGGGTCGTGGCTGCATCGACCAAATCTTCACCTTGCGTCAGTTGTTGGAGCACCGCCACACATATTGGCGGCCCACCCTAGTCGTATTCCTCGACATCAAAGGTGCCTTCGATTCGGTTGATCGATGTGCCCTTTGGAATTGTCTACTCAGGAAAGGTGTGCCCGAGAAATATTAGCCGAGCATTATACGCGGGTAGCACGGGCTTACGGTAAGCTATCGCCACCCTTTATTATCTCCAGCGGTGTGAGACAAGGATGCCCCCTATCACCTTTCCTCTTCAACTTCCCTATTGTCGAAGTCATGGAGATTACATTTACAGGACATGAGTTGGAAGTTGTGGAGTTACTCCAGAGATAACAACTCCTTGACTTGGAGTATGCAGACGACATTGCCCTCATCTATGACAGCTCCCAGACGTGCCAAACCGCACTGGACAGATTAGCACTGGCTGTCAGCCGCTTCGGGCCTTCCTTTGCACCATCGAAATACAAAGCGTTCCTCCAAGATTGGCAGGGATCGCCTACTGCGCTGACCCTTGGAGGGGATCAGCTAGAAGTCGTTCGGAAACTCAACTAACTGGGAAGTTGTATCAGAGCGCTTGGGATCGAAGACGAGATCACGAACCGTATAGCAAAAGCTCGAAGTGCTTTTGCTAACCTTCGCGGCGGCGGCGCGACATTACACTCGCCCTGAATGGTAGAGTGTACAATGCAGCGGTACGTTCGACCCTACTGTACGGTTGCGAAACCTGGTTCCTAAGATCGGCGGACATGAAGAGGCTCGTTACGTTCGACCATCGGTGCCTTCGCAGTTTGGCTCACATCTGGTGGGAACACCGCGTGAGTAACGAGCGTGTTCGATGCCTTGTTTACGGCACAGGAAATGGAACTGAACCGCTCAGCACCGTCATTTCACGCACCAGGCTCCGATGGTTGGGCCACGTGTTGCGCATGCCAGCCCACCGGCTTCCACAACGTGCATTGTTTGCTCACCGGGGGTGTGGATGGAAAAAGAGGAGGGGTGGCCAAGCGATGACTTGGTCAAGAGGAATGAAGGCCCTCACTTCAAAGCTGGCCTCAGTTGGAGCGTCTCGTCTCCGTGGATGGGGTCCGAAAGACGATGAACACGTTTGTCTGGATACACTTGGTGATATGCCTAGGAGCCTATCTAACTTGCGTTCCTGCTGTGAGTTTCTTTATCGCTCCCCATCTACGATCTCATTTCGTAGCGTAAAACATAATAATTTTTCTTTTTGCCTAGTAGCCGGTGGCAGCTTACCGGAACGATGTCTATCCGTTGCTGGTAGCTCAGCTGGCATGCAACTGTTGTATTTATTTTCCTTTGCTTTTGTGTATTGCGGCACAGTAGCTGAGGTATTTCCCACCTCTAGCTGACGTGTATAATGATGATGATTATGGTATTCAACCTTCCCTAGCCTTCTTGCTAAAGGATTATTTCGCCAAACGAACTCAGGTCACTAGTTTTGGCGGCGAAGGATCCTCACTGCTTACCACAACATCTGGCGTTTTTCAAGGAGCTATTTTGTCATCTTTCTTGTGCCCTACTTACTTTAGATCTATAACGGTCCCAAAAGAAACCATTCTTTATTGATATGACATTATCATCGGCGTGAATTATCAAACCTCGGCCTCCTCACCCAAGCTGTAATGTTGTTTAGACGACTCAGTGCAATGGTCGAAATCCCAGTTGGATGGTGGACGCATCCAAATGCAATGTCATGGATTGCACCAAGCTGAAGATTGATGGTAACAGCTTGAGTTTATGTACGTCGATAAATTATCTTGGAGTCACAGTAAGCCGCGATGTATCGCGATCACTCCATCTGAAGCAAGTACTCACCAAAGACAGGCGACTTTCTTTTTACTTGGCTCGGTTACGATCCTCCTGCGTATCGTAAATTAGATTCTAAAGCTCATTACAGCGTGCATTCTACCATAGTGGAAATAATGCTCTCCTGTGATTTTTCACGGCTTACTATGTAAGCATTTCAAATTGACAGGTCACTGAAGCATTTGTCTCACTGCAGTGGTAAATCAAATCCAACTTTGGCTGAAACCATTGTATCTACGCACGTTAATTCATACACCAAATTTGATGCCAAAATACTCATTGACATTAGCCAATCTCTTCACAGTGTACTCTCTCGTCGACTAGACAAAAGTGCAGAGCAATATATGGTCGCATGAGGGCTAATGATTCATCAGTCATTCCCTATTTAACCAGATTTCTGTTTGACCACTATTCATTAGCAAAACGCTATTATCTAAGAATTGACCCGTAAATTTCGCCAGTGTTATTCATTTAGCTTTTCTCATTTTTGTTGTTCCCTCGCCATTAAATTACTTCCCATACCGATAGCATGTGTGCTACGGCTGAAAATTCACCCGTCACTGGTGTGTAAAAGTGATTTCTTGATCTGGCTTGAAGCAACTACCGAAAAGAGGATAACGCAGTCTAGCAATTCAGCAAAATAGTTCAATGTGAATTGCAGATTCCGTTTAGTGCAATTCCGGTGATCAACTATGATCCGAGCACCGAAGTGCGGTGGATCCAGTTACCACGACTCACATCGCAAGAATAACAAGAAATAACAACGGCAAGAAAGTGGGACTAAAGGCAAATAGAATGTAAAGAAAATGGAAACATTAAGGAAGCGCAGTAAACTAATCAGAATGGAACGAAATTAACAACCAGATACAAGAAACCGAATGCAGGAACGCCACTGACTGTGTTATTGATCGAATTTAGTCGCTCTGTTCATAAGTAGGGTTCAATTATCGGTAGGCCAGCAAACATCGTAGACGAAGACAATAGGTGATGTACTGTGGAATGATGGCACGCAAGAGGAAACACATGAGTTGGCCTCTAAAGCCAAAATGTGACCGTAGTGGAATACTCACCGATGACCGTGATCATCCACATCATGATCACTGTGAACAGTCCAATCCAGACGCAGCACATTACGAAGGATAGCCAGTGCGAAATGAACATACGACGCCATCTGGGTCTTCGCACGTCGGGAACCGTCAAGCAGAGCAGCAGGCGTAGAGGCCATACAGATAGGCAGGCAAAGTAGTGAATCTTTCCTCTAACACCCTGGGACCTGGGCAAGTGTAGAAGCCCGAAGCAAGTTTCAAACCACGACTCGCATGGCTCTTTCACCTGCGTTTGAACTTCCGAGATGCTGTAAGGTTCGGTGCTCAGAACCTCTGGAACTTCCAGAGAGCCAGCGAATTTTTCTCCCGCAGCAACTATGAATGGAGGGAAAAGTTTGCAGAATCCAGCAGTTAAGAATGGACATAAGGATGATAACAGCGACGGCACTCAAGTATGCTTGCGAAAACTGGCAGTAGTCGGAGTAAGCATCACCGTAGCTATTAGTTCAATGAGACACTACTGAGTGACTGATCGTTTCGCGAAGATTACAAAAAAATAAGAAGGGATAAGTGTGTAAACGTTATCTTCCACTAAAGATGTTCCCGTTCCAAAAAGCCAGTTTAAGAAGCACGACGAAGCATTGAAAAAGAGCATCGTTTATGGTACTAACAGGTGACTCCCAAAATGTGGCGGCCAACTGATTGGGTCAGGACAGGGCTTTTAATAATCACCAGGTGGTTGAAATCATCAAAGCGGACGTAAAGTAGGCATACGCCATCGATCCGTGAGGTATAGTGGATTGAGTCAAATACACATCACGGTACGGGGTCAGTGAAGAACGGGAGAGGAGGCTCGAGCACGATTCCCGGGTTCGACAGTGGCCATTTGGAGACTGGTTTTGGACTTGTCAGTAAACAGGAAATCCAAAGGAAGAATTCAAGTAGATCCCGCAGCTCGAGCATGCAGACATCAAAGGAACAAAGCAATTCATCCGGGTAGTGATCACAATCTAGTGGCATTCAGCATCAGGCTGCACGCAGGAGTCAGGCCGAATTTCGCGATACGTCTTAACGACCATGTCTATTGATTGAATAGGATATATTCGCATAAGGTCAAACCAATGGGATACATTCTTTCATACATGCGATTCTAAAGTGTTAATTGAAGCCTTCTATCAGAATATCAACAAATGTCCAGACACATTGCTATTGTAAGCAGAAGACACCGGAGAAATACAAAAGGCAGCATTACACTCGCTAGTACTGGACAGAAAAATCGGCAGGTACAAGAAAACCCATGATTTTGCTACACTGTATCAACTTCAAAACTTATTAAGTAGACTGGGAGCACGTCGAGCTGAAAAGTGCAACTCCAGAGAGCGCTGAGCTATCTCAGGTTTCAACAAACAATAGAACCCTGTCGAGCTACTTAAACGTAGGAAAGGGTTCCGGAATGTCAGCATCACATCCTGTGATTATTTGTGATATTTTAATCAGCACCTCTGTTAATCCTTTAAAGAAGCCACACAAGCAACTGCTCTACCAAAGTTGGATACGATCGGTGCCTTGGCGACAGCAGACTACTCATATTTAAGGAATCTCATCCACTAAGGAGCCATCCTTCTGCGGTGATACTGATGACATTCATCCATCCGACTTAAAAATTGGTGGCCCGTGCTGCAGAACACGTTCACTTTATCAATGATAGTCAGCTCCGTCCCAACTCACTGGAAGTATGCCGAAGTAGTTCCATTTTACAAAAAAGGTTCGAAATAGGAGGTAGCCAACTATAGCACGATTAGTCATATCTACATTGTGCTTGGATTTGTGGAAAAAGTTGTACAGGAGAAGAATTATGAATTTCTGTTCTCAAAATCCTCATTCGTTCGGCGTAGCATGGCTTCATAAAACATGGTACTTGCCAACCATGCCACCTAGATTTATTAAGCCACATCACAAACTCTGTCGACAAGGGTAAATCCCATGCTATTATATTTCTTGATATGCAGAATGCTTTCGATCAGGTACCTCATAACAGACCTTTGGGGACCTTGGCATGGTTTGGTATTTCTGACACCTTACTCTTTTTGTTTCACCATATCTTATTGGCAAAACGTAAGCAGTCAAAATTGAAAACCGCATTTCCTGTAGCAGCCTAGTAACAAGTGCCGTTATCTTGGTCGTTTAATATTCCTTAGGTACATCAACAATGTTGCTCTTACGTGTTCGCCGATGATATTGTATACATCTTCGATCGGACACATCAGAAAGCAGAGCTTTGTAGTGTAAAGACTGACTTAAAGGCCCTTGAATTGTGGTGCTCCACCTCAAAAATGAGCTTCACAACTGAAAGGCTACGATAAAAATGTGATGTTCCTCAATCGGCTAGGCTCAATAGATGCTAAGCCTATACTGTTCAAGATATATACATGTTCAATGCTAGAGTAGTACTCTTCTTGAGTTTAGTGCAACACACAGCAGTGCGAAACATTGGCACTGGAGCGCATTCAACGCATATTCACAAGATTGATTATGGGTTCCACTACAAGACTTACGTACTTAGGACGCTGCAAAACAGTGAAACTTGACCTCATTTGATTCCGAAGGCTTATAGTAAACTTGCCATTTCTTTCCGATGTGATACAAGGATGAGTTTATATACTCACTTATTCTCTTCACTTGCAAAGCACTTTGCGTTACGAAATATAAAAAAAAAAAAAAACTAACCCTGCCAGAATGAAAGTTGCGCAATAAAATACGTGCAAAATTCCTCCTTAATAAGTATGTAACCATCCGGAAAAGTCTTGCGTTATCCCTAAGATCTTGCACGTTCCCGCATGTGCTCCGTGACTGAATCAACAATTTCCTCAATATAAATAACACAATTGAGCGAATCAGAATAAACTTATCAGAAGAAGAACTCTAGTGGGAAGGACTAAATGGCATATAATATGCATTGGAAAATGCTGAACGTAACCAAGACCGAATCAGATGAACGAACAGCGCACTTCTGCTTTTCTTGTTCATCTTTGCCCTTATTTTTTAATGTTCCTCTTACTCGCATACTTCGATAAGCATTGGTTAGCGTAAATACTAATTGGAACGTCGGATCCCTAAGCTCTCGTTCCCATCAAATCACCTTGACACTTGCTATTAAACTAGCGTAGTATGTGGCTGCAATACCTAACTTTTGCATGCACAAACTGTCACACTGGCAGAAAGGACATCATGGTCTTAGCCTTCGTCTTTTTAAATTACGTTAACACTTTTCATCAGGCTTTCGCTTTACTATGAACTAACACTAACACTGGGTAATTTGAAGCAGTATAACCTTTTGTTGAGTATTTTGTTCGTCGCAATCAGCCGAGAATTCAGATATGTCGACCAGCTGTCCGGAAAAGCACCAGACGGCCGTTTCGCCCTATTGGGGCTCATCAGTGGTGCGCATCCTTCGGTCCTCTGTGAAGGATCAAATCCATGACTGCTAGTGGCTCTTGCCAACTAGCCCGCAGTTTATGCAACTGCGCCATGGAGGACGGTATCTAACTATCGTGAATTGTTAGCTAAATGCGATTGCGACGAACAAAATACTCACCAAAATCCTTCCATTCATAAGTAACCTTTTGTTCCCTAATTAGTCTTAAAAGTAGAAAGTATTTGTATTTATCAAAGCTTGACGTTTATCCATTCATGTTTTTTTATCGGTAGTGCCTTTACCAATTCAATTAATACTAATTCTGTTCTTCATCTTGACAGTTACTCTGTCCATAGTGATTTAATCAGAACGTTTGATGCAGTGATTTGTGTCCTGTGGAGAAACTCGCTCCGAGAAACATCGCTGGATGTGACAACATGTCTGCTCGACCAGTAACAATCTAGTGAATAATATGTGAAACAGTTCCATACACTTTGATCGATCTACATGTGCTGAACCGTGTCTAGCCATATCGAGAAACACAGCCTACTTATTAGTACTATTGTTATTTTTAATTTCTCACGGTTATACTCCTCTTTATTTCATTAGTGCCGACGACTGGACTGGTCCACTGAGGTGATTGATTGAAGCTTTTAAGCCAATAATCGTACCAATGCAAGACGTATTGCTATTGGCTCACCAACGTCTAAAAAGATGTCATGCTCGATTTGAACGGAATAATGGAACGGGCCGGATGGCTTGCTCGTTCATAATGAATGCATATAAACAGTCCAAAAGATATTAACAGAGGTGATGGCTTACATGTTATTACCTTACTCTGACACAACCAAATAGAGCAGGGAAGTGCGGGTGAAACGTCTCAAGGAAATACCCTAAATATTAAGTAAATAAATCGTCAGCTGTACGCCGTAACAGCGCTTCGCTGATACATTCAACTTCAATTGCTCCAAACTCGTTTGTAGAACGCATTGAAGAGCGGAAAGCCATCTGTTTTATGAAACCCCGCTGTACATATGTGATCTGATTACTCAATTGGACTGTGCCACGCACTATCGTTAGACATAGTTTATTGTTGCTATTATTAACTGATTCCACGGAAAAACCCATAGATCGTGTGGACTAGGCGTACATACGGAGTGCGCATGCAGAACACTGCAGTGGTTTGCTTCCTATTAGTCATATGCCTCCGACCAAACCACATGATTCAATTATGACGGCCGTAAGTGAGCTTCGGAGGTTTGAGCCGTCGGGATCCTCGGCTGCATGGTTTTAAAGGGGGCGGAAACAAACCAGATATAGGCAACAGGTGGTGCTCGTGCTCTACGTCAATTGTGATAAAGCCTTTGCATTCAATGACCGAGTTTCTAGGAAATGAGGTCCACCGATCACACCTCAAAATCTAAACGACTGGTCCAGCCGGTCTGAGTGGAAATGCTGCCAGCTGTGATTCACCTGATCATGGAGAAACGCGTATGACTATACGGAGTTTCAGACTCGTTTCATGAAGAAGGAAAAACAGCATTGATTAGCCATTGAATCATGCATATGACAGGAGGTGGGTAAGACGTAGCAATAGCTCCGTGAATGCAAACTGAAGGTGAATGTTTAAACCAGTGGAAAGTTATACACGCGAGTAAGGAAGCAGATAAAGTCCATAATGCACCACAAGCAAATTCATCTTTAGACTTAATGGTAAGTCTATCGCGACGAAACTAGACCTTAAGGTGGCGCGATTGTTTGCGTGCCTCAACGAACCATCGAGCTATGCTGCGTACTTCAACGAACCATCGAGTTATGCTGCGTGGTGCTTTTTGCACATTCAGAGACACTCATACCGGATTGGCCAACGGTTAGAAGTCAGACCAACTCAGCTCCTGGCCCTCCAGGTTGGTTTTGGAGTGAGGGTGGCTCCTTACTCCATAAAATGGACTCTCCGTAG